ACGCCGCGGGCGGCGGTGCCAGCGCCGGAGACGCCGCGGGCGGCGGTGCCAGCGCCGGAGACGCCGCGGGCGGCGGTGCCAGCGCCGGAGACGCCGCGGGCGGCGGTGCCAGCGCCGGAGACGTCGCGGGCGGCGGTGCCAGCGCTGGAGACGCCGCGGGCGGCGGTGCCAGCGCCGGAGACGTCGCGGGCGGCGGCGCTGACGGTACCGCTGCGGGTCCGGGTCCCGGATCCATGGCTGCCGCCGCAGCAACGGCTTCAGTAGGATCTGCCGCGGCGTCCTCTGTTGCCGACGAGATGGCTGTCTTGATGAACACCAACTTGCTGGCGGACCGGAACAAGGCCGTTCAACATTTCCGCAAGAGCTATCGTCAAAATGAGGTAATTGCGTATGGTATTTGTTGGGATGATAGCATTAGGTGGTCGGAGTGAGAAAAGGTCTGCGGTTGCAGGGTGAGTTCCGAAATGCTCTCATCTCATGTGCCTTTACCCGCGCCTGGTTCCTGCTTTGTTCGCAGGACCGGGCCATGCTGCTGGCTGCAGGAACCACTTGCACCTCCTCAGCATGTACACCTCTTCCCTGCTCCATGACACCCTGACCGTGGCCTTGTTCCAACCTCGCGTCTCACTCCTCCCGCTGCACAACTGCTTCCATCCCAGACACTGAAATTACCACTTTCACAATGCACTACTCCGCCGCACTGCACCGCACCGTGCAGGTGATTGAGGAAAACAAGGCCCTGCTGAAGAGCAAGTACGAGAGCGCCAAGGCGCTGGGTGCCGCTGTCAACGAGTCCAAGAACCGCAGATCTCCATCCTGGCGCTGACCGCGACCTCCCCGGCGCTTCCCGTATATACTTCCTCCGTACAGCCACACGCACACAGGGCCGCCTGCGGCTGCACCGCCAGTCTTACCGCTGCTACTGTTGCGGCGGCGGTGGCTGCTGCTGCTCCTACTGTTGCTACTGCCGCCACAAATGTACGATTTGAAGCGTCTCCTCATCCGCCTGCCGACTGGCAGCTATGCGACCTGTGGCGCAAAGTCAGGTCGGGTCGGGTCGAGGTGCATGTCTCCCGCGCTTTGCAAATGCGTTCAGACTCATCCGCGGATGGCTAGTCACATAAGGCCGTAGCAGCAGCAGGCCGCTCGGTAAGAGCAGCAGTAGCAGTTGAGCAGGGTTGAGCAGACGGAATGTTGACCCACCTTGGAATCCGGAAGGGCGCATGTCTTCAATGATGCCTGTTAAAGAACGGGGAAAGAGGGAAGAGGAACGGAGGCCCGAGTGGGGAGTGGGTTGTCAGGATTCACCGGACCTGCGGGTGTGTGTAGGGAAGCACACACGCACATATAGAGAGACACACACGCGCGCACGCGCACGGAGTTGCTGACTGCTGGAGGGACTGAACTCCGGCGCACCGCCCCACCTTGTGGGTCATTCTCCGTGACCGTCACCATGAACAGCTCCCCCCGGGGCGATAACAGCTCCGGCAGCTGCATGGAAGGGGAGAGGCAAACCCGGCATACACATCAGTAGTTGCTGGAGGCCTTACTCGGGGGGTAGCAGCGACGGCTGCAGCAGCCCAGCAGCAAGATCCATCAGATCTGACAGTGTGCAGTCCCGCATCCCCTCACTCACTCACAGCCAGGTCCCAACACCCACACACCTTCCCACCCACCAGCGGCAGCACTCTGTCGATCACCCTCCTGCCCCGATGACCCCCTGCCCAGGCGGACGATATGCCGCCCTGCTCCACCTCCTCGTTCGGGGTGGGCACATAGGGCGGGTTGAACACCTGGGAGCAACGGACCGGTGGTTGGGAGTGGGTGGCAGAACATGCGAAGGCAGATGCGGCATGGAGTCCAGCACCGGCACAGAGCAGGACCGAGGACTGAGGCCTCTTGCGACTGGCACTGGGGTGAGAGAGCACTACCCGCGCTGTGTATTGGTCCAGATGGATTCAAGGGCCGCTACAGCTATTTCAGCAGGAGGTTGAGGGACCGGTCCTTACAGTTGGACCCACCATCACATCAACGCTACCGCGTAACCTGTCCCACAAAGGACCTAGAAGGCTGACCGCAAGCACCTCCACCTCCGAAACCTGCGGCGGCGGAGGCGGTGCAGGTAACAGAAACAGCGCAGGCAATGGAGGCAGCGCAGGGTGCAGGAGAGTGTACGAACGTACGACCCAAGTGATGGACATGGATGACATGCTTTGGCCGGGGCGCGTACACACCGGGGTGGGCAGCTGGGGCAGTTTAAGGACTATATCGGACCAAGAAAGGAAATAGGACACAAAGCAGTACGACATACACGCAGTGCGAGATCGGCATGAGGTTCCTGCAATCGTCAACAGGCCCCCTTCAAACCACGCGCAGATTTCCCCCAATCACACACACACGCTTTATCCCCGGGGATCTCACCTGATGAGCTTGGAGGGTCAGGCGGGTAGCTTCCACCGCAGCGGGGCTGTGGTCAATCGCCAACAGCTGGCAGTAGCGCCGGCGGACGGGGGTCCAGCCCGGGGATGAGGAGGACAGCTGCCGCAGCAGCAATGCCAGGGAGGTTATCACGTAGCCGCTGCCGGAGCCCAGCTCCAGGCAACTGCCGGCCGGGGAGGGATAAGGGACGGTGTCGTTGATCCTCAAATGGGAAATTGGGTTAGAGGTTGTTCTTATGTATGTAACGGTAGGCGAGGTGACGGGGCCCACGCGTTGCGCGGCGACGCTGAGTAATACAGCACACAGCAATCATAGATAGAAAGGAATAGTAAGGCATATTGTGCGCACCATCGGGGCCAATTGACTTCCCAGGCCCTGGCATATTCTTGGAGCGTATCCACCAGGAGGAACGTGTCCTACAAAGCCGGAAGGTGGTGAACGTACAGCGAACGTTCGGTAAAAGAAGTATGGCTTTCTAAATGCCTAATCATGGGTGGTTGGACATCGGATGTTGCCAATGCGGGAAGACAATGTCCAGAGAAGCGGCGAATTTAAACCCACATCGGACGGCTCGTAAACATCGCCATTCCATTGTGTTTTGCTTATCTGGGCTATGTGCATCTCTACAATAGAAACTTATGTATGGCAAATAAAGCTCTGAACACATAAGTGAGATGGGTCAGGATAGCAAAACAAAGCTCTATTGTCTCACTAAGGTAGTCGTACTTCAGAGCCATACGACTTTGACTCTTCAGCTGCCGCAACATGCCCTTCATGTTGCGAAAGAACATGCCGTGACCATGGCGCCCGGCCCAGAGGTTTCGGGTATTGACATTTATGTGCGTATTAAGCCAGTGCCCAGGCCATCACCGCGATTAGTAGTTGACACGAGCGAAAATAAGATTGAGTTTAATATACCAAAGAATGAATCAGCTGGACTTGTGAACAACCAGCGTGAGCACTTTGAGTTCCGATTTAATGGTATTCTCACAGCGGAGGCAAAGCAGGATGAGGTAGGTCAACAGTACTATTTACATAGTACATGCAAGAATCGTAAGTAGCATTTGTTTCGTGTGCGATATCATTTCCTGAAAGCTTTGCACCGCCTTGACATGGGGCGCGCGAGTAACATTCAGGTTTTCGAGCGCGTGGCGCGACCGGTGGTTACGGGGGCGATGGAGGGGTATAATGGTACAATCTTCGCCTATGGTCAAACCGGGTCCGGGAAGACCTTCACGATCACCGGTGGGCCCGAGCGCTACGTGGACCGCGGTATCATTCCACGGTGCGTTGACTTGCTGACTGCCGCCTTCAGCCCAGGTGACGTCGCAGGTTGGACGCTGTGTTGCACTGACATACGCACATGCTGTCAGAGATGCCATGATACCGGTTTCGTTGTGTGTTCGGGTACGACACGGCTAAGTGTGGGCTTGCGTGATGGGTTGAGTTGACAGAGTCTTTGCCTTCACGCCAATTCCTGCAGGTGCATTTCCGCCATCTTCAGCGAGATCTCAAAGCGCTCCGACCAGCAGTTCACGGTAAGGCTTTCCCCCGTGGCCCCAGCTTTTGCGCCAGCTGCCTTCGTAGGACTTGTTGGCCCTCGGGTAAAAGGATTTCGTTATCCCCGAGTACGCCACGGCCTTGTAGCGTCCATGGCAAGTATGCGTACTTGGCTTCCTCAACCCAATTCCGCCTGGGTACCTCGGGCCAAACTCGTCCGGATCTGTCTGCTTACCTAAACTGCCGGTCCTGGAAACCCAGGTTCATATCTCCTATCTGGAAATCTACAACAATGAGGGTTACGACTTGCTGGACGCTGAGCGGGAAATCAAAGCCATGGAGGACCTGCAACAGGTGATGATGGGTGCAGTGGCTACGACACAGACCCCTCAGGGACGGGTCAGAAGTTCTCACCTCGCGATGTGGGTCTTACCTGGGCTGGGCTGGGCTGGTCTGGACTGGGATGACTGTGGGTCGTTAAGCCTGGAGTCGCGGAAGCTGCGGACGGAGAAGGATCGTCGGACCCAGATGACGGGGTAGCTACAATGCCTGTAGCCGCCAGCAGGGGTTGGGGCGGGTCGGGGTTCAGGTGGAAGGTGGAGGGGCAGTGTGACTGCGGATTGATGCAGCGTACTTCGCATGTGGATGTGGCCAGATGTGCTGTTGCTGCTCCGCAAGCCCGCCGGCAGCCCGGCGGTGTCCGGCGCTGCAGCGCTGCAGGCACTTGTGCAGGTAACCATATGCCGCACCCATCTCACACTGCCAATCGTCCTTGTTACTGGCACGAGTCATCGTCACCTGCACTTCGCGTCGTCGTTGGGACATATAGGTGCATCTGGGCGAGGCGGAAGACGGGACAGTGTCCTACCGCAACTTGTCCATGTACCGAGCAAACAACGAGGAGGAGGCGCTGAACCTGGTAGGGCTGATTGACTGAGGGGTTCCCACATTGAGGGCATCATAGGCGGTAGTGGGAAGGCCGGCGATTTCCAGGGAACAGGCAATGAGGTTTCATGAAGGGTGGTTGCTCCCCAGCGAAGGCCGGAGTCACATCAGGTTACAAGAGTTACGCTGGCACTGCCGGATAGGGACGTCGGTAAACCCAGCAAGGACGTTCGCCCCGAGCTCGAGTCTAGCCTGTCTCTCTGCCACCATTCCCTACTTGCCAGCTGATTGTTATATCCTCTCGCCCTCCCGCATGGCTGCAGCTCTTCCTGGGGGACACCAACCGCACCATCAGCGAGACGCCCATGAACATGGCCTCCTCGCGCTCGCACTGCATTTTCACAATCCACATTGAGGGGCGAAAGGTTTGATTGGGATGGAAGGGAATGCAGACCGCTGCATACATCATGCTAGGGTAGAGGCTAAGGACTGCTGGGTCGCCAGGAGCCCCAGGGAACAGGGGATTTGCACATCTTAAGGGGAGGCGCGTGTGTGTGTGTGTACCTGGGCTGCACAGCTTCCCCGGCGGAGGGCCTTCACAGCACACATGAGCTATATGGTAGGCAGGCTGCGTAAGCTGAAGCGAAGACCTGTGACACGCATGTACACAACAGACCTCCTCCTCTCCCCTCTCCCCTCCTCCCCGCGCTCCTCACCCACCCCCACATCCAATCCTGCGTCTCCCTGCCTACCGACCCGACCCGACCCCAGGTGGGTGAGGACGTGGTTCGGCGATCCAAATTGAACCTGGTGGATCTTGCGGGCTCCGAGCGCGTGTCCAAGACGGGCGTGGACGGCACCACCCTGCGCGAGGCCAAGTACATCAACTTGTCGCTGCACTACCTGGAGCAGGTTATCATTGCGCTGCAGGAGAAGGCCATGGGCATGAACAGGTGGGGACTTCATGGAGCCGGTCTAGAGATTCAATTTTGTGCTGTCTGGGCGGACGGCTGGGGCTGATGTGTGCTTAGGTGTGTGGGAGGGTATAATTGCAACGCACCATAAGAAGGGAAGGGAAAGGGGCCATGAGTATGAGCAGGTGCAGGTATTGAGGCTTGGGGGCTGGGCCTGATGAAGACTGTCAGGCAGGCATAGCTGGCGAAGGCGGATCATTGAAGGGGACAATTTATGGAGTCGTTCGAACGGAAGGTGACCCGACGATTGCGAGACCGTGTTATGGCGTTCGGGTGGAGGGGAGAAGTAAGCCTTCAATTCTCGTCTGTCCTTCTCCATCTGTGCAGCTGACCAGGCCTTCCACCACGCTTCGGCATTGTCGGCCAACTCGTTTCCTCTGAATGCTGTTTATTACTTCTTCAATCCTCTCTGCACCCTGCTCCAGGACCTATACCTCTCCCCCGATCCGCTGCTTGTGTACATTTCCACGACCACCCCGCAGGCCTCACATCCCCTACCGCAACAGCATGATGACCATGGCCCTGAAGGACTCCCTGGGCGGTAACTGCCGTACAACCATGGTTGCCACAGTCAACGCAGCCCAAGACCAACTGGATGAGTCCATCTCAACATGCAGATTCGCACAGCGTGTGGCCATGGTTAGAAACACGGTAAGCGCCTCAGCGAGTCAGCACGCCAGAGGCTGGGGGCTTCTGAGGCAGTTGCCGGGAATGGCGGACCAGGGTGTTCCGGGATCCCATTGCGGGGTAGGAATGCCGCCGTGTGGAGGCCAGGGACGGCGCTCGGTGGGAGGTTCGGGACCAGTCAGGATTGGGCAGCAGCGCAGCTTGACTTGGCCAACTTGGCAGGCGGGCTGACCAAGTGGCCCTCAGTGTGCTCTGGCTCTATATGTTTCATTTTGTTTTTCGTCCATAACCCTGGCCCGCCTCCGCTTTGAACCCTTGTAGGTGATGCTCAACGAAGAGCTGGACCCCACCCTGATGATCAGGCGCCTGAAGCAGGAGGTTCGCGAGCTCAAGGAGGAGATCCGGCTGCTCAAGGGCGAGGAGGAGGAGCGCGGCCCGCTCACACCGGACGAGATCACCCGGCTGCAAGGCACGGTGGGTGGAGCCAGGGTTGGGCCAGCCAGGTGTTGCGCAGGAAGGTGTTTAGCGGGTTGCGTGAGAGCCTCTGTCGAGCGTGAGAGCCTCTGTACCTCCTCCCAAAAGGCAACGCGGGTGGAATGCCGAGTTATGCAAGGTGATAGGGATATGATAATGAATGAAGCCACCCGCTGAATCGATGGCGAAGCGCCTGGCCTAGGGTGGTTGCCGATGGGCAGTCCGCGTGGCTATACCGAGGTACCGTATTCTGCTGGGGTGCATGTGGATGTGCAGGTGGAGACCTGGGTGGCGGACGACTCCCCGGAAGCCGCTCTCAACCTGGGTGGCAGCATGATGATGATCCGGGCAGCCTTCGATATCTTCAAGCGCCTGCTGCGAACAGGGGGCTTCAAGCCCGGGGCCGGAGGTGGAAGCGCTTTCGCTGGAGGGCACAAGGACGCGGCCAGCACGCCGGGGACCCCCAGCGGGGGCGCGGGGGGAGGTACGCGTAATGGTGCTATGTGGCTCGGAGCCGGAATTGGAAAGATCCAACCAGGCATGAGGACGGGATTTGGTGCACTTCTCGGCTACTATCGGAGCTGTCTTCAGTCCAGGACGCTCACCCTCCTGCCCTGCGCTGCCCTGCCCCGTCCTGCCCTGGGGGTCCGCTGCAGGGGCGTCCGGCGCCGAAGTGGTGGAAATGCAGGAGCAAATACGCAAGCTAAAACTGCAGGTGGGGCGGTGCGGGGCTACCCTGAGGATAACCGACGTGCTTGCATCACGCGGGGGTGGATGCATGGGTTGTAGCTGCGAGCTTACAAATATCGGCACGAGCGTGAGTGAGAGACATGCACGCTGGAACTAGGCGCGTTTCGTTTACACTTAGTTTGTTTCCAGAGGAGCCGTAGAACGCTTCGGAGCTGGTCGCGGCTGCGCGGTCGGCTAATGGATAAGGGTCGCGGCTGCCCATGGTGCAGCCGCCACACGACCTCCCCGCGCCTTTCATGCTGATCCACCTCGCTCGCTTCCCCCCTTCACAGGTCGCCCAACGTGACAACGAGATTGGCATCTTGGTGTCGATGCTCAAGCGGCGAGAAGGAGCCGGGTCCAAAGCACCCATCCTCGGCAGCCCAAACGCCAGCATGGCCGGGCCGCTAGCAGCAGCGGCAACCGGCGGCGGCGGTGGCGGCGGTGCCAGCGCTGGAGACGTCGCGGGCGGCGCTGACGGTACCGCTGCGGGTCCGGGTCCCGGGTCCATGGCAGCCGCCGCAGCAACGGCTTCAGCAGGATCTGCCGCGGCGTCTTCTGTTGCCGACGAGATGGCTGTCTTGATGAACACCAACTTGCTGGCGGACCGGAACAAGGCCTTTGAACTTTTCCGCAAGAGCTATCGTCAAAATGAGGTAATTGCGTATGGCATTTGTTGGGATGATAGCATTAGGTGGTCGGAATGAGAAAAGGTCTGCGGTTGCAGGGTGAGTTCGGGAATGCTCTCATCTCATGTGCCTTTACCCGCGCGTGGTTCCTGCTTTGTTCGCAGGACCGGGCCATGCTGCTGGCTGCAGGAACCACTTGCACCTCCTCAGCGTGTACACCTCTTCCCTGCTCCATGACACCCTGACCATGGCCTTGTTCCAGCCTCGCGTCTCACTCCTCCCGCTGCACAACTGCTTCCATCCTAGACACTGAAATTACCACTTTCGCAATGCACTACTCCGCCGCACTGCACCGCACCGTGCAGGTGATTGAGGAAAACAAGGCCCTGCTGAAGAGCAAGTACGAGAGCGCCAAGGCGCTGGGTGCCGCTGTCAACGAGTCCAAGAACCGCATCAACGAGCTGCGAGCCGGTATCGAGCGGCACCGCATGCAGCGCGCCGCGGCGGCGGTGGCCGCGGGCCAGGCCGTGGAGTCCCTAGATGAGGACGACAAGGAGCGGCACAGCAAGGAGCTCATGGAGCAAGTGGGTGTGACGTCACTTGTGACCCTTGGCGAAGAGCGACATAGGAAAGCGCAGGAGGGAAACCTTCCATATGGAGAATGATTTGACGGTGGTGATATCTTGCGGGCCCGCGGGCTGATTTCAGGGCGATGTTACCCTCGGTGGGTCTGGCCTTTGTTGACCGGGCGCGTCCTTGCTGCGCTTTAAACGGACACCGTCGGCGCCAAAGCGCAAAGTGAGTAGCTGCAATGCGAAATTATGCAATGTCCCTGATGTGTGTCGGAACCCCAGGAGAAGGCCCGCTACAAGGACGCGTTCGGACAGCTGCGCGAGCTGAAGAAGGAAATCGAGCACTTGCACATGTTGTTGGAGCAGAGCCGCACGCGGCTACAGCGAGATTTTGAGCAGTGGATGGGGCTGATGGTGCGGCAACAGCAACAACAGCAAGGCGGAGCCCCAGAGGCCATGGCCGCCGCAGGACAGCTGGCCCTGAGCATGTCGCCGCAGGGCAGGTGGGTCCAGGGGCTTGTTTGGAGTTGCGCAAGCTGTCCGATGAACCAGTTCAAGCCTGTGCAGGACTATACATAGGAGCATGGGTCGTTTTATCGTGCAGGCAACGTGCTTGCTGCTTCACTGCTCGGCTGTTGGTTGCACTTGCATATGCACTTATACTTGAAGACTCTCTTCACGGCCTGTGCAGCGGGACGCGCGCGATGGAGACAGGCTTCCTTCCAGACTCGTTGCCCCATCTCCGGACTTGCAGGCCATCTCCTGCTGGTCCGCCTCCAGTGCCCCGGCAGGCCTGGGGCGACCCTGCAGCCCCCACATCCTCCAGCCTTTCAGCCGGCCCCACCGGCCGTGCCGCCGGACCCGGTGCCGGACCCAGCCCAGTGCCAGGGCACCCCGCGATGCAGGCAACATGGGCTGGCGGCAGCCCATCCACGTCGCAAAGCTTCCAACCCCATAACGGCGGCTTCTCGGGCAGCTACGGCTACGGGCCGGGGCCTGGCCCGGGCCACGGTGGCGGCGTTGGCAGCGTGCGCAGCAGTGGGGCCCCGCTGACGGTGGGTGGCGGCGGCGGCGGCGACCTCAAGGGTGTCGACCCTGCGGTGCTGGAGGCTGCAAGACCGTTCCTCACTGGCAATCCTGATGCTGACGCTGACATCATCAAATTCTACGAGGCCAAGGCCAAGCTGCTACAGAAACTGGGTACCGGGAACGGGTGACACTGGCCACGACAGTATGGAGGCTGGGTTGAAGGATGCCTCGCAGACTAAGACAGGACGGGCCAAGACCTGTTCTACACATTGGCGTGAATCTACATGTGCTGGAAGGGACTCTGCGGCGCCTCACAGCTCGCCAAAGCACTACATGGCAACGCATGGCACCAGGTGTTGTTGCATGTGCTGCAACTGCCGGCAAGATAAATTTTCTTGCGGCCGAGGAATACATGTTCGTCTGGTTGGGCACCTAGGACGGGTAGTCCTGGTGTGCGCATTGCGGAGTGAGTCCCTGCTGGCAACCTTATGCCACTACTACCTTATGCCACTATGTACACTGGGCGGCAAGGGCTGCGTCGCGCTGAGCGACGCACCCTAAGGCAGAGCAGGGCTTTCTTGTAAGAGTCGTTTTGTCGCCGCACATCGTAGAGCGCGACGCTAAGAGCATAACACGGAGGAACGCGGCATTGCTGTTCATCAGCTAGCTTCTCGCATCAAGAAGTACCAGGATTCCGCACTGACTCTTGCGAGCCTTGCACACGTTTCTTCCGCAGTACTTGGCTATTGGCATTTGTATGGCGTTTCCGATCGTATTTACCAGATAAATCAGCCTCCAGCAGAACGGAGAGCAAAGGAGGAAAGTCTCGGTACTTCAATTGTTTTCAACACCCTCCAACACGAAAAGGTATATAGCTCCACTTTTGCTAAATACACCCTCGGGCGACCCCGTCCAGGGCACGGCCCACTTCCCTAGCTCCAAGGGACGGAGGACGGGGTTGGCTCAGCACACAGCACACCATACTAGGCGGCCTGTTGCCCATCTTCGCAACGTCGGCCTAAGGGGGCTTGAGTGCCGGGTCATCGTACCAGCATCACATTGCATCTAATCCCCAGCTGTCGCTTCTCAGGCTGCACCACCAGGTGCATGCGGCGTTCCGGAAACACAAAGCTCCAAGGCATGCATCCAAGGCCCTCAACCGACTTTGCTGCCCTTTTCCGAGTTCTCCTCCTCTGGACCCCTGGATACTGCCCCTGGACATCATCCCCACATCGTGCACCACCAGCGTATATAACACACCTCTTTCCCTTCTTCACATACCCCCCGCCATGACCCTTCGAACAGCCCAACCACGCCAACACTTGTGAACAACGTCCTTCTGTGTCCTCCAGTAAATTTGTATCCGCACCAGCGCGCGACAGCCACCGTCTTGCCACTCCTCCGGCCGCCGGCTGCTACCGCTCCCCCATTTCCCACCTAAACCCCTCGAAGCTCTCCATCATAGGGTGTCTAGGAAGGGCGGCAGCTCCGTCCACCACTCAGGCCGGTCATGATGCAAGCGGCGCAGGAAGATGGCGTCACTGCCGGGAACCACCAGCCGCTCAGCCTCCACGATGTCGCAAAAGGTCTGAAGGAGTCATGGAACCGTACGGGGATTAATGCATGAAAAAGGAAAAGGATCCAGGCACAGAATAGGGGAGGTGTGCGAAGGGAGGGGAAGGGTGCTTGACTTTCGCGCACTCGGACATACTGACACATACACACACGTGTGCGTCGATGAACTTGCTCACAACGCCGCGGTATGATGCTCTTTGGAGCCAGCTCGCGGTCTCGCACAGTGACACGTTCAATTTTCCGACCTGCAACCCCTTCCCCCCCTTCCCTACCCCGCCCGTGGTGACTCCCACAACCTCAGTCCCGCATGGCCCCACCGCGGCTCTCCCTCCCGCGGGGCCCCCTTGGCTCTCCTTTGGTCACCCGCTTGCCTGGAAATCCACGCGCCCCGTAGACCCCAGCTCCAGACAGATCTGCTCGACGTCACTGGGGTCCAGGTGCTCACCTGGGGCCGGGGGAACCCGCAGACCCATGGGTCACCAGTCGGATCGGGCAAGGGCCCTGCTGTTTACCCTTATAGTAGCAAGCCGCCGCAAAATTGTGACTCAAACGCGCAGGCCAGTTCGCTAACCCCTTGGCGAGACGAGTGCGCCGTATTTGGAGCTAGTGGTGTGTCAGAAACCAGCCCGCAGGAGCAACGCAACTAAGGTAGGTCAAGACTCGACAGGTGGTCAGGGTAAATCCCCCTTTTGCTCATTGCCTACCCACGTCTCACATCGGCACAATGCCCGCGACCCTCACAATCAGCCGCCGACCCAAGTACCGCATTCCCCCCCTGTCCATCCCTCCACCCGCTCACCCATCATTTGGAGGCCCGCAAGCAAGTCGTCTCGATCCAGCCAGCCGCGACCGCTGCGATCCAGGCCCTTGAACACAGTTTCCGCACGCTGCCGGTCCACTCCCTCAACAATTGCCAAACTTTTTGTCCCACTCCCGCTGCCTCCCTCCTTCTCTGCGGCTTCCACCTCCTCCTCCTCCTCTGCGCCGCCGCTCAACTGCTCCTCCCAATCGCTGCCTTCCGTCGTGGCACCGCCACCGGCGACATTCCGCGCGCAGGCGGCCTTGTCCACCCAGGCCCGGTTGCCGCCGCTGCCGCCGCCGCCACCGCCGCCGTTCTGCGCCGCTGCCTTACTCCTGCCTGCCGCCGCCAGGGCACACAGCGTTCTCTCATTGGCCGCTAGCACCCGACACATGTCTTCTACGGGCACGAACTCCAGCTCCCGGACCAGCTTCTCCAGCGCCTCCACTTCCCCGCAAGCGGGACCCGCATGGCCCGTGGTAACAGCCTCCGCGGCAGCCTCCGCCTCTAGCCGCCGCCGCGCCTGGCGCAGGCTGCGATAAATGTGCCAGCACCAGCGGCGGCCAGAGCCGCCACTGCCACGTGCAAATGTACTGCAGTAGTCACCGATGCGTCGCTCCGCCGAGGTGAGTACCACATGGGCACCGTGGAGCATCTCGTCCACGTTGCTGCTTGTGAGGAGGTCGCCCACGCTGGAGCGCGCGGCGCTGTCCGCATGGTTTCGGAAGCGCAGCGGCTGGGCAAGGAGCCGGCGTGCGGGCACTTGGCTAAGGTAATTGTGGGGCCGGTTAGGCGAGGAGGAAATATGGGAAGGGGCTCGGCGCATGAGCCGGGCCGGTTTCCTGACGCCCGTCCTGAAACGGGCGTTACGAGAGGTGCCGACCCAGGTGTTGCGGAATATGATGTTGGAGAGCATTTATGATGAACAAGCTCGGTCGTGCATGAATATGGGAGAGGACTGTCGGGGCGTTGCACAGCGTCTGCACGTATTTGCTTGGCAGTTGAACAACGATGGTCAAGGTCATGGAAGGTTCTCAGATAGCTTTACTTTGCTGACACTCTGCAAATCGTTCAGCTTGCGTATAGCGTTCCAAGGTAGAGACAGCGCCCATGCATATTCATGTTAAAGGCTCTAACGGTACGGCATATATGGCAAGCTTTCCCGCAGTGCGGCATGATGCGCCAAGAAACGGGAAGCATTCATGCTGTGCATCCACTTGCAACACAAATGCTGTTGATGAGGGTTGTCCGTGCAGTGTGTATGTGATCTTGCGAGCTTGCATAATGACGGTTAAGTCCCGCGGGTCAACCTTTGGAATGCCCATCTTTGACTGCCCTTGAGGAAATGCCAGTGAAAAGGTTATTACTAAATTGGAGGTGAGGAGTTGCGTGAAGCGCCAGACCTCAAGATTGACTTTGTTGCTCACGACAAGGACACGAGACAACGACATGAGAAAGTGCTAAGCGACCTTGATCCATGAAAATGTATATCAAAATGTCCTTTATAATCACGGGAGTCTAGGTAAGGATGGAGGCGCTTGCTGTGATTCGCCCTTATGGATAGTTTTACGACAACCCAGGCTCCCGGCACTCGTGCGATCCCATCCTGCACATAGCACAAACATTTCATTATCTCGTTAAGTTGACCATATACGATTTCTGTTTTGCTTCTTAGGCTCTATTGCTGTCAAGCATACGTGGGCACAACGCTTTTTGTAGTTTAGTTTGTGCAGTTCAAGAATCCTCCCTGCTTCTTCCGAGACAGTTGGTCGCCTTTTGACGTCTTTCTGTCAGGCCTAGGGCTATTGCCGGCGGTGTCCTAGCCCTGGTCTTGGTGTTTGCTTCGACTTTGGCGCAGTGCAGGGGGAATATGGACTCGGGCCTACGAGTCGTCGGTTTCACCTTTTCTAACCATGGAGATTCAACCTTGAATTCTGAGGTGTCTAACGCGAAGCTCCAAACGCAGCGCTCTCTTTTGAGCGAGCTTCTTGCAATCCATGCGGTTGGGGATGACAGCCTCAATTCCGACCCTGCTAGCGATGTCAGTGGGGAAGACGATGATGTCGACGAATATGATGCTGGGGCAGAGCCTGTCCCGGTGGCGCGAGCGGACACTTTTGGTGCACAAAGCAATCCCATTCCCATACCTTGCCCAGAGTAAGTTTCTGCTTCCGGAATTTGGCCCTGAGCTATTTTTGGTAAACGTTCTGTTGCACTGCTGCTTATTGCTTCCTGATGCCAGGGACGCTTTGCGTTACGGGGCAAGTATGCAGCTTTGTTTTCTCTGTATGCAAATGGACCCATGTATGCGACCATTCATTAAATGGGTGGGCTGCCAATTAAGATGTTTGGGGCAGAAATCAGCTTCGTCTTGCAGATTACTGTTCCTTGGCTAGAACCGAGCTTGTGCGTTGGCGAGTGACAGCTCAGCTCTACAGCCCGGCGACTTGTAGGTCCATCAAATCATTGCAAGAGCTTTGCACCGATTTGTTTTTTCCGCTGGTGTTTGAACCTTTACTCACGAGGGCGACTTTCGCACTGTTTCGCCACGATGGTTAAGAGCCTTGTGCTCAACTCATGAGTCCTCCCACTAAAAACCAGAAGGTTACCTTTGCTTCTTTGCAGATTTTGCTTTCTATATTTGTCGGTTGCGCGGGACTGGTTTTACGAAACGTGTCAAGTTTTCGCTTGCCTATTTCGCCTGCTGTGTTCGTTATTCCTTTGCCCGCGCAGATCCCTGGCCAATGCGCGTGCGAGGGACGCATATCGCCGTTTGCTTTACCAGCGTAAGGTTGAGCACCTGTACTATCAGCAGCAGCAGCAGTGGCAGTACAACGCTCAGCAGCAGCTCCTTATCCAGCAGCAGCGGCGGCTGCATTACCTTCAACAGCAGCAGAATCAGGTAGCTCCACCTACACACCAGCCCGGGCAGGAGCGCGATGTCGCTGTGCAGCAGCATGGTCCTACAGCGACTGTTCCAGTTTACTAAGCGGCAGCGAGAAAGGGCTGCTATGGGCAGCATTATTTCGTCATGGCCCAGCACAGCATGTGCGCCGTTATCTACGACATCTCCCCTAACTTCTCGCATATTATGGCAAATGTTTAGGCTCAGACTGCCTGTAGGACACGTGACCGCGAACAATTTTACGCGCGTCTGCGTGCACTCCGCAGCGGCCATCCACAATGGGGTATGGCGTGACTCGCCAATCCAGGCAGACTGCAGCACCTCGCTGCGACTGGCGATCTGCCCGGCAAGCTACTTTATCTTTCTATGGAAGCTGTGGAAGCTTGGCACACGGAAAATGTGATGTTTAGGTACACTTTTCGTCTTGTGTTGTGTCCTCCCGCCGACTTCTGCGGAGGAATGCATTGTATGAAGCTTTGATCCCCCTGCTGAGAGTTTCTCCTTTCACTGATTCGTGTTAGCAAACTCGTTGTTCAGAAACAGCAGCTGGGTGGCAGGATAAAGGACTAAGCCTTACTTGTACCACATGCGTGCAAGGTTATATGTGTGGTACTTTATGCGTGGGCGGGTGCAGCTAAGGCGCCAGTCCAGATGACCGCTACGAGGTTTTGCGGAAGTGTGGACCTTTGTATATCTGATGCACGTTAGATAGGCATTAGATGTTTTCTGGTGCGCACGGCCGCCTAAGCAGTTGCCCATGCAGCGTTGGCTGTCGTGCGTACGTCTGCACCTAGCATTGAGCGGTTGGGCTCCTTTGCGTTTACGTGCTTGTGAAACGGCTTTTATTAAGTTGCATGGCCAAGCCTTGTTTAGTATGAATTTGAACACATTTCGGAAGCTAGTCCTGCAAGCCCGGGCATTTCCCCACAGCTGAGAGAGATACCGGGAGGCAGACCAGCGACAAAAGTAAGGTGGTTTAGAAGGCCTGTGAGGCACGGCTGTGAGTTGCTTGGACTGGCCCACGATAGGATAGTTGCTCTTTCTTTCTTCTACTTCTTGCCTACTTGTTGGGTAATCTGATTGGCCTCGTACGGTTGGCCGCGTTTTCTTTTGCTTCTTGTTCCGCCTGTGGCGCCTCGACGGCTTGCAATGAATGCGATACATTTGTAGATTATCTTTTCGCAGAGTCTTGTGCGAATACGAGGGTTCGCACGTCACTGGCGATGCTGTGTCGTGCATTTCACGAGAGTTTGAAGGTTCGAGGCCGCCTGGTCTATGGTGCTTGCGCTGACATATAGTAGCTTGGCGTTGCATCGATACTTGCGAAGACGTGTGATACGAAGGGCGATGCAGCGGTGGTTTTCGAGTAGTTCTTGTAGCGCTTGGAGGGGGTTGGTTTTCTCACTACAATACAGGGAGAGTAGCAAATGGGCTTGTAGCTTATGGGTGCGGTGGTATGTACTTTGCAGGTTGCAATACGTTATATATGCAGGCGTGGAATCTGGATTGTAGCTGTCTCATTGACAAGATGTCTGCCTTGCGCCATCCATTGAAGGCGTTACGGTGCGTTGTGGGGCTGTCGATGCGGATTGGTGGCCCGAGGCATGGACATAAAAGAGATTGCACGGTATCATTGTATCAGAAGTTGAGTATGGCGTCGCAATCATGTTGCTGTCACCTTACTATTATGTGGCTCATGATAAGGGTCTGGAGATTATAATTTTCGAAGCGTTCTATGGGTTTGCCGTTTCTGTTCGCTAGTTTGGTTTGTGTTTGGCAATCATACTATATTAATATTATTGTTTTGCATTGCAGTTTAAGCCAAATGTGCGGGTACTGATGATGTGTATTTGTAAGGTGGGAGTACCGGCGTCTTTACCCGGGGCTGGATCTGGTGTCATGTATGAGCCAGGCAAAATAATGGCCACATGGACCCGAGTTCGCTCATTAATTTTAGCACAACAAGTGCCTCGGTCCTTGCGCAAGGCGGTCCAGGTTACTCCATCTTTCAGTCTGCTGTTTGCCTGACACCCTTGTTGCGCCATCAGCAACCACAAATGCTCCAATCTCGCTAGAGGAGAGTTCCCTAAATCTCAAATGTCCTAGGCAACTTTAGGTTAGGCATACGTTTTTCCTGAAATTCCCTTTCCCCTGAACGTGGTCCAAAGTCGCCCTCTACATAACAATAAGATGCATGCATGCATACAGGCTATCTCATAATGCATCCGGCTTACCCTTGGGCCCTCGGCTCGTATGGGCCCGTTACACCTTTGGAGAATAGGGCAACTCAGGCTGTAACACACACACGCAAGCAGTGCACAAGTTCGCTAGGTAGGCACGGGTAGTCGCAGACCAAAAATGGATACGCTTGCCTGCAGACGGTAAGATATTGTGCATCCTCCTATTAACAGTCAATTGGGACAAAACTCGCTTCTTTCGGCTGCGAAAATATCTGTACAGCCTCGCTACATGTTCCTTGACTTCAGGAGGTTATCCACGAGCCGGAGACCCATAGACATCCTATCTCAGAAGTAACAAAAACTGGCCACATCGTTGCTTAACCGAGCCGCCAAAACCCCAGCGGGGCTACTTGAGCTGCCTGAGCTGAGGCCCCAAAAGGCCAGGGCGTGCTGCCAAGCATACTCATGGTGGATGCATGGGCGTCAGCGATGACACCATCATGGTACTCGGTCGGCATTGCACCCTGGTCATCAATGCCATCAGCAGCTGTGCTCAAGACGCCGACGGAAAAGACGCCACGGTGTTTTGGATGACGGGCTGCGCCAGGTATACCAGCACCACCACAACCCCCACAGCTGCCGCAACCGCCAGCACCTGCGATTCAAGTTCACACCGTAGACAGGTGGATTTCCAAACCGACAATTAAGAGCGTAGTGGCAGCATAAAGAAATCAGCCTACCAACGGCAAGTCGAGCCTTCTACTATCGCCGCGCAGAGCAGTGCTAGTACAAATAATATAAGGGGCCAACACGGAGTACCACCTGTGGAGCGAACCGGCGGCAGCACGGTGCAGGTACGGACAAGCTGCATATGTTGGGTTTACCCAACAGTGACCTGGAAGTTCCGGCCGTGTGTTGATGTTTGGTGAGGATTGCACACGCTACGCATTCCGACAAGTTGGCATGCCCCAGTCCTTCTGGGAAATTCCACAGCGGCTGATCCTTCGTACGTACCTTAACCAGGGCATCTGCAGCACCACCTTCCAAAAGATCTCCCTTCTCAGCCGCACGTTTCATATCTTCAATAAGCCTTTCGTCTTCTTCGGTCGCGCGCTTAGAGTATGTGCGCTGCACAGAGACAGCGGTGTAAGTGCAGGGGAACCGTGCGTGACACCAGCTGGCTAGAGTTAAATCAAGAGACCCTTGCAGCTAATATGCATAATAAATGCAATATGCCTGAAAGGATACATGCGTGCGAGCATAAATCTTGCAAGCTTACATATGCATGGCGTGCGACCGACCCACAATTTTCTGGACAGCCGATGTCTCTACGATCGCGTAACCCACCGTGGAGAGGCGCGCTTGATTTGGCACATGATGCGGGCATGGTCGGTGTGAGCGCCTCTGGGAACAATTTCGGCTGAGAGGGACGGTCCTATCAGGATGTAAACCAATGGACTTTGATGAGACCTTGCCGATGATGGTGGCCATGTTGAGAACGATGTAAGGTATCAATTGATGACCGATGTTATGGTACGTAGTTGGGTTTCAGGGGCGTTTGCTGATCCTATCAATGGGTTCCACATATGTTCGAATACGCGTCCTCCGTCCATCTTCTCAAATCCTGCATAATAACATTTACGATAAACACATATATTGGATTCGTTAGATTATTACGCTAGCCGACGGTATCTGTGTGCTAAGTGAAAGCTGCACACAATCCGTCCAGAACTCTCGCGCGAACAACAGCAAGTGTTTGTCAACACTTTGGCAAGTTTATTATTATTGATTATACGTGTCGACTTCAAAAAGAAAGGAGTTCTGACCTTCTGAACTGGTCTGTGCCGATAGTTATGCCGAGGACCAGCTCTGGTCTCCTTGGCTCCCTTCCGTAAAGGTGTGGCCTTGCACAACGCACTTGAAGCTTTATCCTGCAGTGATAGCTGCTGGCTTCTCCTGTCCTAAGGAATGTGTGGACCCTGAGCCTTGTGAGACCCTTATTGTGTGTGAGCAAGGAGTTAACGCATCGTTTCCAGAAATGGTTGTACATCAAACCTCCTCAGTTTGTGCCCCCTTGCTCGCAGCGTGCATCTACGGGAAAACGTGGTGGCAGAGATGGCCTTCGTTGTTGCGCCCTCTCTTGGCCACCCCACCTTCTACCGCTCACTAAGCAATACCCTCACAGCATCTTGCAGTACCAGTGGCAGCAACACAGGTCACTCCTGCTCTACGCACACGCTGCGTACTGGGCAACGAAGGTGCAGGCCTTTGGCCCTGCCCATAGATGACTTTCTTACTGTACCCCGCCGGCGGAACCCTGCTATTCGGACACGTGCTTTAGCCTCGCCCACTCTCTGGAGCATAGCGCCGGGATTGCACCCGCTCACATGTCTGTCGTTGCCAAGCCACGTTGGGCCAATGTCACGCAATGTCCTCGTTCGTTCATCGCCCATTCACACTACCAGCGTGTCGCCCGGGCATGGCGGCGGTAGCAGCGGCAGCAGCATGGATGAAGATCTCAGCCTTGTTGGCGTTGCATCCGGGGGTAGCACGTCCAAGGCAGTCACCGCGGCGGCGGCAGCAGCACACGGCACAACCAGCGCAGCGGCAGACTCACCGCAGCAGCCGCTCTCGTTGTATGAAGATCTCGAGGATGCCTTACCTTATCGCAACGGCGTTAGCACTAATGGTAACGGCAGTGCAGGCGCTGTTGCGTCGCACGGCAGCGTCGACCTGCAGCCGCACAATGTCTCGACCTCTGCCGCCACCGCCGCTTCCAGTTCCCCTGGGGCCTCCTCAACCACCACCCCGGAGGAGGTCTGTGTAGTGGAGGTAGACTCTAATGGCAACGCTACCACACATTGCATGCCTGTTTCGACGATAAATACCGTTGCCGATGTCATGCAAACCGTCCCTGACGCTGTTGCCGTGGCGGCTGCAGCAAACGCAGCTTCCGTGTACGGCGTATCGCCACCTGCCACAGCAACTCCCGCCAGCGTCCGGCCCATGCCAACCGTCGTTGACGCAGCAATATCCGTCAGTTTACGACCTGCCGGATTTGGCTACCGCGACGCCAACAGCGCGGCGCACATGGTCTCCGGAGGTGACCTCGCTGCCGACGTCGGCTTCGCTGCCGCCAGCACGGACCAGGATGGCAGCGGCGCCAATCCTAGGATTGGCGGCTCGGCTGCCGCAATGGGCCCCGCCGGTGGCAGTGTGGATATGGCGGACACGCCTGAGGGGCTCACTGACGTAGAGGTCTCCTCTGTGGCGCCCGTGGCGGACTGGCTTAAGGACCAGGATGACATCACCACACTCACCTACGCAGTGCTGACAGGAGGCCTGGTGGCGACGGCGGTGTTCATCTTTGACGTATCCATTCAGACCATTCACGACCTGCCTGATATATTCAGCACGGATCTGGGCATTGGTGGCGGTCGCAAAACTGGCCTGGAGATTTTCGGCACGGCGGTGCCGTTCCGGTGGGTGACGGGCAGCTACTTTGGAGGGATGGGTTGGCCATGTCACATACCAACGACAGTTAAGGGCAATTTCGTTAGGTGCAAACAATACGCCACTCACGGGACGATCCTTACCGACCTCCTAGGCAGCTGAGACACATCCTGGCCCCACACCTTAACCCGGTCCTACAGCTGTGTGATGCCTGTGGCAGCCGGCTTCGTGGTGGCCTGGTTGCAAAAGGTGGGCTTCAGTCCCGCCCTCAAGGTGCTCACACGGGCCATGGAGGGAGTCACGGATGACGCCAACAAGGCCGCGCTGCCAAAGTCCTACTGGCAGGTGTGTGTGCGTGTATGTATGTCTTGATGTGTGTATAATCTGCACGGAATAGGTCGCTCGTGTGCAGGTATAGCAGGGCTGGCACACAGCCGTCTCCCTTCCTGTCCCACCTTTCCCTTTCATCGATTATCAGCTGTTTGGCTGGGAGGTTTACTGCAGGGATTTCCAAACATGAAGGTGTTTGTTCGCATTGTATTCCCCTCCCGCCCTTCCTGTAGCTAGATACCCCGGGTGCGCTGACCCGTTCCTCCGGGATCTTGTTCCCTGCTCCCTGCTTCCTATTTCATGACTGCCGTTGCCGTTCCTCTGCTTCCACTTGAGCAGTTTGTATCATTCAGGGCTCCCATCACATCCGTTTCTTTCCGCCCTTCCCCTCTTCGCGGCCGGCCACATGTTCCCCATCCTGCCCACCCCTCACCCCGATCTCCCACCCCCAACCCCAACCCCTGCACCTCCAGGTGGCCCGCAAGGCCATAGCCAGTGCCGTGACCCTGGGCAGTGGGGCCTCCCTAGGCCCTGAGGCCCCCAGTGTGGAGCTGGGGGCCAACACGGCGGCGGTCATTGCGCCCAAGAACCTTAGCAAGCGAAGACAGAGGATGCTCATTGCCGCAGGCGCCGCGGCAGGTGGGTGGGTGGGTGGGTGCTTCGGGGCGGGATTTTCCGGTGCCCAGAGGTTTATTTGTCCAGAGGCGCGGGGTCGAGGTGGGAGAGGTCGAAATGAAGAGGGGCGGAGTTCAGGTGCGGAAGGCAACTGCAGCTGGAATCAAGCAGCATTTCCCTACGCACTCGGGAGCATCCCCACGCCCAGCTTCATCATTGGAGGTATCCGCACTGTGGGCCATCGCACACATGTGCGTGTGTATCCTCTTATGGTTTGCCGTTAACTCTCGTGCGCCTCTTCACTCCTGCAGGCGTATCGGCCGCCTTCGACGCCCCCGTGTCGGGTGCTCTGTTCGCTGTGGAGTTTGTACTCAAGAGCAGTCGTCTGGGTCTAGACCGGCTGTCCACCTCCACGGTGTTCGTGTCTACCTCTGTCGCTGCTGGGGTCATTGGCTTCCTGCGTACTCAGGGTCAGGCGCTGGGGATTGCGGGAGCTGGAACTCACCTGGTGAGCTGCCGGAGGTGGAGGAGGACGAGAGCGGGGAGGAGGACAGTCTGCAAGATAAAGGGGGATAGGAGAGGTTTGTAAGAGCTGTGAATGGATATGCATTCCCTGCCCTGAAACCCTGGTAACTCTCCTGTCACCCCACTGACGGTTCCATCCTCTTGTTGAAGTATCCGTCCACCGCTGGTATCTGCTTCACTTTCCGTGGTTTGCTTGAACTCCCCTCCCACACACAGGTCGGTCGCATCCCATACTTTTCCATTCAGCCCAACCTGTTGGTCGATGTGCTGCAATTCTCCGCCCTGGGTCTAGGTGGGTCGAGGGGAGGCGAGGGGAATGGAGGGGGAGGTCTGCGGGAAAGGGCCCTATGGGGAGGCAGGCGACATTGAGATGAAGCTCGTCTGCCAGTCGTCCAGCAATGTGGTAAATTCGAGGGGCATGGGCGGGTAAGCGGCAAAGGTGGCACGTCCATGGCTTTTTGAACGGATGTGGGAGCGAATATCGTTACGGTTGAGGGGATGGGTGGCTTGAGGCTTTGGTTACGGTGGCAGGTCGAAGCCAACTTCAAGATCAGAAACGGATCTGCTCTGGCACCCCGGAAGCTCGGGGCCCCCACAGCACCCTCGTGCTGTGTTACGAGGGTTCTATGTTACGCCATATCCTGCTGCATCACTTCTGCGTTGCTGTTGTTATTGTTGTTGTCTTTGCTGCCGCCCAGGTTGTAGCGTGGCTGCTGTGGCACTATACGAGGGTGTACGTGTGTCGGAGATTGCCCTTCGGCCGTTGCCCCGCTGGTTGTCGGCGCCCACGGCGGGTGCCCTCTGCGGGATCATCGCCTACCGCTTCCCACAGGTCAGTAAGTTGCGGGGAAGAGGGGCTCGAAGCGGTGGGATTCGCTTGGGAGGCGAGGCCCCGCGCGAGGCTGAGATGGGACTGGAAAGGGCTGTGAGGGGCTTGAGGGGCTATGTAGGGGGCGAAGAATGTAGAAGGGACGGATGAAAGTACTGCACCGTCGGTTATCGGTTGGTTGCTGATACAGGTGTACATAAGACGATACCGGTTTTCCTAACTTTGCCACCATGAACGGCATGCTTGTACATTTATCATTGTAACCCCCGTTGGTTGCTGATCCGACTGCTTAAACTTCGTGGAAAGCCCATATCTTTACTCCAAGCCGGACGTGTGGGCATGGATTATCTTTGTATGCGGTCGTACAGGTCCAGTACGGCTACGTGAATCTGGAGGAGATCTTCCGTGACTCTACGGGTATGTCCGCGGCGGACCTGACGGCGTTGCTGACGGCCAAGATTGTGGCCACGTCCGTGTGTGTCGGTGGCGGCCTGGTGGGCGGCCTCTTCGCACCCTCCCTCTTCCTGGGCGCGCTGGTGGGTGGTGCGGCTCGTGTCTTTTATTGATCTGAGCTGCGACGAGGGAAATGAAGTAGATGGTGATGCCGTGCGGTGGTGTTTGTGGGAGCTGGACCTTGCAATTGGATGGAGGGGCGCGGATATATGACATAGTGACAGGCAGGGTCGATATGCAGGAAGGGGCTCATTGGATCTCCCCGCAGCATCGTGGCGCAAGCGTGTATTCGCATGATACATCGGGGTTGCGGTTATAGGGGGACACAATGGCGGGTGGGAAGGCCGGGCGGAACGGGCAGGTGGGCACATGGGTTCCCGGCACATGCTCCCGCCACAATCCTTCCCGAAACCTTCCCGCCTCTGTGCTGTGCGTTCCGATGCTGCCCCTACTCCTGCAGGTCGGTGATGTGATGGGTCACTTCGTTGCCGGCCCCTGGGGCCTCCCCGATCCCACCTCCCTGGTGGTGGTGGGTGCTGCTGCGGTGCTGGGAGCCGCCTGCCGAGCCCCCCTTACCGCCATCGCACTCATGGTGGAGATCACCCGGGACACGGGACTGCTGGTACCGCTGCTGTCAGCCATTGGAGTGGCCTCGTTATTCACGGACTATCTGGAGGGAATATTCTCAAAGCGCCTGGAACAGGTGGGGCAGACAGGGGGGTTGCAGCGAGGATTGGGGTAAAGGAGGTCAAGGGCAGATACGGCTGTGTTCAGAACTTCAGGTCTGTGCCCTTGCTATGCTGTCTTGTATGTGTTTTAATCGCTGGCCCCTGTTGGGGTGGTAGCAGTTGCCCGCGCACCTTGGCAGTTGCCTTTGGGGAGTGAATCACTCCCGTCGTGTCTTGTGGTTGAAAGATGACATCAGGCGTTGGCGGTCTCAAGCACAGTATCACGCTTATCTCACCTCGCCACTTCTGTACATGCCGAACCCCCCTCCTCCGAGTGGTGCTTTCTTACTTGTATTAATTTACCTTCATTATTTAACGCGTCTCCGCCTCCCTCCACTTCCTTCCCTAGGCGCTGGTTGAGCTCTATCTGCGGGAGAAGGCCTTCTTCTGGGCGGCTAGCCTCGTAACGCCCCCTGGGGCCGCGGCTGGGGATGGGGTAAAGACAGGTACGCCGCCGAATACACCTGCCTGTCTGGCCTGTGGCTGTGTCTTCCTTCCTGTCTGTATATCTGTTGCATGGATGGTACATGTGGTCCTCCCCATCTTCCTTTGTTGGACTTCTGCAGCTCCAGGCTGCTTCCACCACATCCATTCATTCTCCCAACCCTTGCTCCCCCCCTCTTTTCGTTCATCCCGCGCAGTGGAGGACGTGTTGGGCACCCGTGCCAACCTGTACGTGCGCCACACGCTGCCATTGGCCCAAGCCAAGGCCGCCATGGCTGCCAAGGGCTCCTCCGCAGCCGTGGTGGTGGACGACAACTTCTCTCCCCTGGGGGTAGTGTACCTTGAGGACGTGGAGGCGGAGCTCATCAGGCAGCGACTGCTCAACGAACCTGACGCCAACTTCAACAGGCAGTAGTGAGGATGGGGTCGGGGTGGGGCCGCACAGGCGCACGCTCCTGCTGCCGTTGGGCCTGTTCTTCCGGTTTCTGCTGATGCCGGATCTGTTGCTGTCATGGAGTCTTAATCAAAAAAGGGAGGGAGGCTGCGCGGAAGATGGAAAGGAAAGGTTCTGTCGAGGGGATTGAGGGGCGGTGATGAGGGACCTCGCGTGTTGTCTCCAGGAGTGATGAGGATGGTGTGGTGTGGGTGGGTCACCGTGGTCGCATCGTCTTTATGGATGGTGGATAAACGGCATGGCAGTGACTGTGTAGCCGTCTTTCGTGTATGCGCAGGTTTCATATGAGCTCCTGGCGAGTGATGCCGTGTTGTGCCGTTGTGCAGATGTGTGACGTGCTGCGTGGGGCTGAATGGACGGAGGGAGCTCGCAGACAATCCAAAGGATAGTTGTAGCGCATGCGTTGTACTGCATTCCTTGCACCGCCTGTCATGCTATTTAAGATATTTCTCATAGATGGCAAGACGGCGTGCTCGGCTCCACCTTGTTCGGAGCGGGAAACTTGCATATGTATGTTGGATGCTTTTGGCTTCAGTAGCTGTTGGCGTTGGCTTTCGTTCTTTCCCTAGCCCGCGATGGGCTTCCGCTACTCTCAACTTTGCACGGAACCCCCGTTGTGCTGGCTCTGCTCAAGTAAGCGACAAATCATCTGCGCATAACCGAGTTTGGGGAGGTGCGTCCATCTCGGTATCACTGGGCCGTACAGACCACATCCATTGCTCTAGTTGGACATCGCTGCGCATACCGCCATGCCCTACCATCTCGCAGTGCAAACGTACGCACGCGGTCGTGTACGGTACATGCCTTGCTATCCCTGGACGCATTTCTGTGTATGCATGTACGTGTGTATGTATAAGCGCATACAAAAGGGGGTAATGGTGCCGCCAATTTTGTCCGTATCGCATCGCATTGCATGGCCGTGCGCCCATGGGTTTCTGCCTTTCTAAGGTTGTCCTCCGCAACCCAGCTGTCTGGAGCTTGAGTTGAAGCTGGCCGGGGAAGCTTTGTGTTTGCCGCTTCCCGTTGCTGTTTCTCCGCTCCCCGTGGTGGATTACGCCGTTGCCCGCTGTTGCTCGAGATGGTGCCATTGGTGGAGGGGGCTCTCGTGTCTGTGCGCCCTGGTGCAGTCCTGCGGGGGAGAACAGCACGCTGCGAGATGGTGCTTCGCGACGGAGGATTTGTTTGTTGCGGAATGTGGTGATCGCGTTCATGTTGAAGATCCGTGTATGGCTACGAGAAGCGCTCGGGGAGCTGCTGCTGGGCACCCACGCTGCGGCCTGGTAGGTGAGTGAGTAGGTGCAGTAACGGGTGGAGGACAAGTTTCGCTCTAAGGCGTGGTGGATAAAAAAGGCTTACTCGTGACGATGAATTTCTGCAATTTAGTTTGTGCTTTCCAGACCGTACAAATGCCAAGGGAATAGGTAGGGTGACCCTGGCAGGAAGATGCTGGGGGTGGTGCTCCTTTCTGTGGTATGTGGGGTGGCGCGAACCGTGAGGAAAGTAGCCCTCGTGACGTGGGGAGCTTATTGGGTCTATCTATAGTAACGGTTTCTTATTCCAGCTGCGTGCTCTGGCTACAGGCCGTTTGCCAGGCGCAGCGGTGGCATAAGCCTTCTTCGTAGGTGCCCACCGTGCCTTCATGGAATGTTAATATGTTTCAATGTGTTTTCCTTGTCCTTTTGGATGTCGCCTATGAGGGGCGCGCCGACGGTCTGATCGCGTTGCTGGGTGTTGGCTTGACGCCCAAACGAAGAACCTTCATTTTGCTGTTGTTGCATTTTTTGCCGCTGCCGCTTGCCTTATGACGCACCTCTTGCGGGGCTTTCTGTTGGACTCGAGCTGCCGCGCGGCTGCTGCTGTGCCGGAAGGCTAGGTGAAGGGGTGTTGGAATATACGCAAAAGCGCCCGGGGCTTCCTTACCGGTTAGCCCTGCATCGTGGCTACCAGTGGGCGTGGCAGTGGTGTAGTGCTTTTATCGCCAGTGTGTATTTTGGTTTGGCGGTTTCGCAGGTTGCTATGTATTGGTGAACGTTAATATGAGCGAGTTGTTGCTTTGGGATTTTACGTAAATCAGTTGTGTGTGTAGCAGTAGGTGTTGCACACGTACGTAACCGACTCGTAAGCGATCATGCTTCAAGAGCCATGTTGTATGGGCACAGCCCAGAGAACCAGCGGCCCAGTATGGCGGGCGAGCTGGGCAGCTTCCAGAGTGTTCGCCACTATTTCGGCACCATGACACATCTTATGCGGTGTAGCTATGTAGACGATTTTAAGGGCGATGTGGAGGGAGAGAAAGCACCTCGTGCTGCGTCCTTGATGTACGGGCTTAAGGTGTGTAGGTGTGTATGCTGCAGATAGTTTGGCTTTCGTTGTTGTATTGTTATTAAATTGCATTCGAGTCTTGTCCGCAGGCATGCGGAATATGTCCACGATAAGCGTGGCCAGCGTCCGTTTGTGATGTAGTAGATTGTGGACTGTAACAGTTACTGTTTATTGATTTATTGATACATGCCATTGCGCGGTTAGAAAGTACTCCAAGCTAGCTAACCAATATTTGTGCTGATTGAAGTACGGCGGTCTTTCTGCGCCTCACTTCACTCCGCGTACGTTAGTCGCACATAAACATTCAGGCCCCTACCGGTCCTGCACTACGGCTCTGTCATGCAAACGCCTACCTACAATAGGTACCCCATTTTCTACTCACTAATCCCCAAACAACGATGTGCAACCTAGTCCATCGTTCGAGTCCACATCATGCCCCATAATTTATCCCCGCCTCCCTCCCAAATCCTTAACGCATACAACGTCCGAAAAGATATATGCAATTCTGTATGTGTGACATGCATATGTTCTTACCTACCCCGTATTTCCCCTCCTCCGCCACTCCAATGTCCCTTATACACTTACACCCGAGCCAAAGTAGCAACCGAGAACGGGCGCAGCCCCCTACATCGCCTCTGGCCACCATGCCATCGCCAGCTCATGTAGACGTACGTGTATGGACATAGGTGCCCCAAGACTGCAATCTCCGCAGCCGAATCCCCGGCCGGGGCTCACTGCAAAAAATGCTTTGCTATGCTTTCGAACCATAACATTCCCTTTCGCAGTATCATCAGTAATGCATAATGAATTATATGGGTGCAATGCTATCCGCTTCGGGCAGCCCATCCCAGTCCGGCGCCGGCCGGCGGGACGCACTCCTCTTTTGGGGAGGAGGGTTAGGGCACGCTTGGGGCCAAACGCAGCGCGGGTCTGTGGTATGCAATGATACGAGGACATTCTCCCCTCCGTCCCAAGCACATTGTTGAGTCACATTACCATACCGCATACCAACATAGAAAGACGATTCTCCAGATAAACGGGCGTTCGATTACCTTGTGCTAGTAGGACTCGGTTTCCCGATTGCCAGATAGCCAATTAAGACGTCCACACAGGGGCGCAGAATAGGACCCAGATGGATCGCCACATGGCTTACTTTCACCGCACCGGTAGGGCTTGCGTTTCGCCCCAGCCGTGCGCAATGGGGCACCCTGCCCCGACCTCATGTTCCGGTGGGCCCCGGATTCGACGTATCCTTGCCCAAACGCTAGCTATCCGACATCACTATGCTGTCTAATCTAAGGATATGTTCCAACGCCAGTTGCTACTCTTCCATTCTCCAATACCCCTCACCGTCTGCCTACCACCTCTGCACCCGGCATCTACGCGGACATCTCGACGGCCGCCTCAGCCACCAACCGCGCCTGCGGTATCAATGGCGCCGCCTGCGGCTGCTCACGCTCGCACTCCCGTTGCACAGGTAGAGGTGCCAGGGGCAGAGGCTGCTGCCCCTTCTCCAGCAGCGTAGTGGGAGCTGGTCCTGGCCCCGGTGCGAGCCCCTCCAGCAGCTAATGCCTGACCCCCAGGGCCTCGTACATGAACGGGTGCGCCGACCAGTTTCTGGTATCAAGGGGATTAGGTGTGGGGAGGTGCGATGTAGAAAAGGAAGAGGTAGGAAGCCGGAGGCAGCGACGGAAGCGCTCCAAACGCTCGCTCGTCGTCGTTCTTCTGGGCCCAGGGCGGGGCCCGGAATCCCCGACCCATTGCTGCAGCTCAAGATTAGGCCGAGGCGGCCGGTGGACAGCACGGAGGGGACATTGCGTCAGCTTGCGCCGTTGTTTCTGCGTCCGCAGCTCCACACTCAGCCATGGATGTCTGCTTGTTCGAAACCTTTCCTATGGCTCAAGGATTTTCCCATAACACGCTGATTACACCTTCACCGTCACCAACCCAGCACCCTCCCAACCACTCACCCGTTACCCCACCCCACCCACCCCCACCCCACCCCCACCCCACCCCACACACCGTTGGATGCTGGTGGTAGGTGCGGTACCTGAGAAGTTGACTAGGGTGACTGGATGAGGGTGTCCCGAAATTCCGGGGAAGGCAGGGTTGCCACGGATGGTCACCCGTTAGAGTAGAAAATAGATGCAATGACCTGGAACTGTACACGAGTATGCAGCCAAACTGACGGCTGCGGCTGGCTTTTCCTCCAGGGAACAAGGGCAGCAGCTGAGGTTTGCAGTTCAAAAGCGCGGGAGCATGGTACTACCTGGGAGGCGAACAGGAATTGCCGTGATGACATGTTGCATGGACCCGACCACGTAGCATCCCTATAGGTGTGCCTGGTGCTGTTCCTAATTCGCAACAGCCGCCATTGCCCCAGCTGCTTCTTCATGTCATGTGCCCAGTCCCGACACAAGAAACCATGCCGAGCTCCATGACGACCATAAATGGGGGCCCTATCGACTACCGCACGTACCGGCTACTGGTGTGAGAGCGATTCTCTTTGCCGGATTGAACGCTGAAACGCAGTTCGACAGGCCCCTTGCAGGCTGGCGGGCGAGTAGCAGCACTAGGTAGAGGTTGCAAAACGGGAGCGGAACTTTAGATGACACCACAGGCAGCGAATTGCATTTCGT